TAAGAGACAGACGTTGCTCTGACTAGACCAATACTCAGCATTAAAGCTAGGCTCATGGTTATTATTTCATGATGAATATTTACAACATATTTACAATTATTTTACAACAAAATTTTAATATCAACACATGTTTAATATGAACACACCCCCACTCACCCCCTCCACTTCCTCTCCCTCTCCTCCCTCTCCTGTTGCCTCTTCTCAGCCTCCTCCTTGTCGCGCCGCTCACGCATCTCTGCACGCAAACAACATAAATAAATAAATAAAATAAAAATATAAAAATAATATAAAATAATATAATAAAATAATATGAAATAATATTACAAATAAAACAATAATATAAAGGTGCAGTGGTAGGTAGATGGTAGGTGCAGTGGTAGGTAGATAATAGGTGCAGTGGTAGGTAGACGGTAGGCGCAGTAGTAGGTAGATGGTAGGTGCAGTGGTAGGTAGACGGTAGGCGCAGTAGTAGGTAGATGGTAGGTGCAGTGGTAGGTAGATGGTAGGTGCAGTGGTAGGTAGATGGTAGGTGCAGTAGTAGGTAGAAGGCAGTAGCAGTGGTAGGTAGATGGTAGATGCAGTAGTAGATAGATGGCAGGTGCAGTAGTAGGTAGAAGGCAGTAGCAATGGTAGGTAGAAGGTAGTTACTCACCACGCACGACCTTCTCGTAGTCGTTGGGCCAGAGTGGGTGGTACTCGTTGGTGAACTTCCACTCAGGGTCGAGTGGGCCTATGGACCCACTCACCCCACTCCCCACCCCCAGGGGAGGATCCTGTACAACAACACACAGCCTCAGCACACAATAGTGGTAGCCAGTAAACAGCGGGGAGCAACAGTATAATGGGCACATAAAAGAGAAGCTGCACTTAAACAGCAGTAAGCATCAGTATAATGGGCATGTATAAGAGAAGCTGCACTTGAATGTGGCCACCCAAGAATATTGATATAAAATTGTGCTGCATTACGAATCCTCACCACTCGCCACATACAAGTGTTGCACGCCACACTTGTCACACACATGTGCCACACATCACCCTTGCCACTACACTTCATCACATCACCACCCTCACAGTGTGTGGTAGCGGTCCTCTGCCAGCAGCGGCCAGCAGCAGTTGTGTGGTGACAGTGGTGGCCGATGGCATGGGTGGTGATGAGCTCTCATCATCATCACGTCGGGACTTGAGGTTGATGACTGGAGCCAGCTTTGTGTTCCCTCGGCGCTGGTCCCGTCGGGTCTGTACGGTCATAGGTATATTAGTACTAAATATTAGATGTGATTTGAATTCATAATTAGTTAATAAAAGATGCATTCTAAAACATAAATATTATGTATGTAAATAAAATGAATATAAGTAGGTAATGACAAGTGTGACTTGATGAATGAAATTATTAAACTGAACAACATGATGGAAAATGAATCTTTCATTGTGCAGGCCAAATTTGATTTATTTTTACAATTAATATCTGAATTGAAATGAATCAAGTGTTATCATGTGCATAGAAGACAAGATACAGGAATTATGGTATGCATTTTATAAAACAAACTAGTGTATTACTTCAAGTTTTTGCAGGTAGGAAATTACATTGATTTTCAAGTGATCAACACAATGATAAATATGCTTAATTGTAGCCAAATCAACAACATTACTGGAGCCATAATACCAGCTATGCTCGCTCATTAATAACCATTACATTACAAACATTACCTATTCTTGCCATGAAGAGCTTAACCCATTAATCTCTTCATGCAAGTAGGTATATGTACAATGTACTAGATGGTACTTAGCTTGGCTAATGGCAAGTATATACTTGCCATATAAGAAAAATTATGCTTTTACATAACTATGAATGTGGTGGTTTGTGATGAAGTCTCATGGTAATGAGACAAGTACATACTAAACATATTCTGAACAAGTCAGAACATGTGGCAGGGTGTGTTGTTAAGTCAATGATAAAAACAAAAAAGGTGGTCTGCAGGTGGCATATAGATAAAAACAAAGTTGAAAATCTAGTATATTTTGGATTTTAGCAATGCACCTGAGGAAGAGTTGTTTGGGACCAAACTACTAAAAATCTTTGAGGATCAGTTTTGGACAACACAGGTCCAGTTCAAATGTCTTGTGCATACAATTTGGTACAGCAGTCAGCATCATAGGACATGGGTATAAAGATGCCAAGGCAGATGCCATGAATATGGCTTATTATTGCAATGTGAGTAACATTTCTATAAACTCAGAGTGTCTGAAAACTTTTTGCACAAAACTTTTCAACTTAAAATTAATGTGGAGAAAAAAGGCAGAGATTTCATTAGCTAATCTGTTCAATTACTTTAGATTTCTCCGTATTATACATGTACTCATCACTTTGCCATACAATTTTTTTATAGCTGGGTGGTAAGTATAGTCTTAGCTGGTCTGTATTTCAACCATATAATAAAATAGTTACAATTTTTTCTTCATGAAAGAAGCCTAATAAATCTGTCAAACAGAAAAAAGTTCTAATACTCTCCAGGGATTTATTGGCATTAATGGGTTAAACAGCAATCTAAGAAAATAGCTCAAACAAAACGTAAATATTATCTCAGAGACTCAGGACTAGATAGTTTAACAAAGAACGCTTACAGATACAAGTAAGTACAATACATTATCTACACAAGACTAACATTTAAATAAATTTCACTTCAAAGAAAAGATACTTTGTTGAAACAATAGAAGAAAACAAATACAAAATTGATGGTCCAAGACATGGTAGTACAAAATATATAATATAGGTTCTAAAATAATGAGATGGGATTTGCACTCACCCCTGCAAAGGATGCTTTCTTGAAGGCCATTTGACTGGGCATTAATTTAATGCTTGATGCCCAGCCTGAGGCAGCTGCCTTCTCCATTTCAATGTCATCATATAGACTCATCCTGTTTAGAATTTGTATGACCTCCAACAAGCTTTATTAAATTATGTCTATTGAACATGCAGGAAGTGTGTATCCAAAGTCTTGTGTATTGAACTAAATTTACATGGAAGAGTAGATTAATGTTCATCTGTTGAATTGACATAAGTGGATGAAATTGAGATGAGGATTAAAATTTATATGGACTAAGTCTATTGGCAATATATGTAAATACTATTAAATGTTTTATAGCCTAAATTCAAGATTGGAAAATTATTACTTAGAACTAAAATTTGATTTCCAACCTTAGTTCATAAGTAAGAAAAAATACTGTTTTAGAGAATCATTCTTGATTTTTTAAATGATCATTTTAAATGTTTTATGAAAATTCTCCCAAATATAACAGTAAGTTACAGCCTACAGGTATATATTTGGGAGAATTTTCATGCAGCCCAATCTGGTTACTGGCAGTAACCAGATTGGGCTGCAGCCAGACTGCCTCTGCCCAGACAAAACTGAAAAATTGGGCAAAAGCTACCTATTCATATATTAGCAAATTTTGACATATAAATTTATCAAATTTCAACTGCTTCCCATTCCAATGGCTCTTTTGGTTTTCCAAATTTCTTCAGTTAAAAACAAGGAAAACATCCTCCAGTGAAATAATCATTTTTACTTGCAATCCTGCCACATATAGTGGCAACTGGCACAGCAAAGTGTTCTTCACTATAGATAGAGTTTAGACTCTATCTCANCGACCGTTGGCCATTCCTCGGCCACCTGAAAGCGACCAGTTGCCGCGAAGAAGGGTCTGGCTAGGATATCATATTACAAAGAGTACAAGCTCGAGGGTAGCGACTGGCTGAGCTTTAGGCAGATCAAGGATTTTACACAATGGTCGCGAAAACCTTGCTCTCAGACTTCGCTGCATTTTGACTACAAGCCTTAATGTGTCGGATTGTCGGAATATACTGCGTTTACCCTAATTAGACCAAGTATTATTCATGGACTGTGGACATCAGCTAATTTATCAGCTTTATCAATCATATGGTTCATACACATGACATGTACAAGATATTGGTAATTGGTTTAAAATTTAAATCTCAAGTAAATAAGGAAATTAAAATAGAACTTCTTCTTAAAATTCCTGCCTCTAGGTGGTCACTATGCTTCAGCTTCTAAGTGTGACTGTGTGACCCCTGGCAGGCACCAGGCGGCAGGCCAGCAGCAGGCAACTTGAGGCAAGTGCCCACTGGTGAAGTGGCAATGGTTCCTTCACTACCTTCAGGGGAGCGTCTACCCCAAAAATTATCTCGGCTATTTACAGACGGATCACTTTGAAACTTGGTACACATATGTCAAATCAAAAAATAGACAGCTTTTATTCGTGTCAATTTTTCGAAAAAAATAAAAGAAAACGTGAAATTCTTAGAAAACGGCCAAAAAAGGGGGTACTGTAGAAATCTATCTCCTCCTAGAATTTTCAAGCTACAACATCGAGACGCATATCATTCGATGCGTAAGGACCATATCTATCGATTCGTCGTAGCTTTTTTCGAATTTCGAATTTTTGTGGATGTGGGAGCATTTTTCCCAAAATTTTCGAAAATTTTTCGATTTTCCCCATTTTCCCTTCCCTTTTTTCAAAATATTTTCAAAACTATAACGAAATTGAAAAAAAGCTACGACGAATCTCTAGATATTTCAATTGCAAATCGAATGGTATATGTC